TTTTTTGACACGGGTGCCAACAAATTTGTTAATTCCTTATTTTATAACTTAAAAAATTAAATTATAAATAAAATCGAAATAAATATGTAACAGTACATATTAAAGTTTGTTCAAAAAGAGACCCACACAAGGATTCGGCACATGTTCACGGCTTTATAAAAATTGACAGAGAAAACATTAAACAAGTACTATCTTAAAAAAAAGATATCTGACGCATTCAGATGTGAGCATAGAGTTTAAAATAAAACATGAATCTTTATCATGTTTTTTAAATCATAGTTAAAAACAAAATGCACACACTTTGACTGCAAAAGGCTGACGATTCTGAAGGTTGAGTATATGCGCTTTTCTCTAAAGAATTAAAACCTATACTGCAAGGTACTTAACTAAATGTATGTATATATAGGTATTTTTCAGAGATAAAGAAGTACCTAGCTATAGCTGTGAATTAGACATAAACAGAAGATATAAGTAGGTTACAATCTGTAATGAATAACAAACTTATAACAGTTTAGATCCGTGACGAAATGGCAATTATAACTATACGTCAAGAACAACTTTAACAATTAGAGATACAACCTATTTCGGTGTGTATATCGGGGACGGACGGACGGACGCCAAAGAGAGACGATCTAATACAGCTTTTGACAAGTAATTAAATTTGCAATATATATGTATTTAGACATTAATTTATTTCATGTATATACAATTGTTTGCACCTGTCCTAAGTCAGGAATCTGATGTTCAGTAGTTGTCGTTTGTTGATGTGGTTCATAAGTGTTTCTCGTTTCTCGTTTTTCATATAGATTAGACCGTTGGTTTTCCCGTTTGAAATATATAATATTTTGTACTGTTTGAGATTATTATTATGCCATGGAAGTTTTAGTCGATAAGATATATAATTTTTAGCACTGAGCTATTAATAGCCTAATTGACCTTGGTCAATGTAGATCGTGATATTTACCTACTCATGTATGAAAGGCTAGGCCTGCAAAATCCAAACAATTAGACAGTGGTGATAATGACACCTTCTTTACTTGAATTTATTTACATTTATCTGGATAATTTCATTTTTAAGTTTTGATTTTATGTCCGTAATGTTTTCCTATTTATTGTAGCATATATCTTTTTTTGTTGTTGGTTTTTGTTCAATTTTCGTTATTTCTTCCAATCAGAGTAAAGATTTGTGACATCATGAATGCCGTTACCATAGTGAAGCGTCCTTTACAAATGGGTCACACACCGAAATTATACTTACTGCGTCAGAAAAACGTTTCCATTAAAATTTTTAATTTTAAGCGATCTGGGACATACTGTGTTTATGTTTACGTAATATCCTCTTTCTAGGCTATCTTTAAACGATGAGAAATATCAGAATTTCATATTTGCAAACGAAAACTGATCTATACGAGGATAAACGATAGATATTCGTTGACTTGTACAAGGATTTTTATTGTAAGACCAACTGTACAAATCCTTGATTTGTATAAATAAAATTAATATACGAAATTTCTTCCGATGTCCCTGTTTATAATGACCGTTATGTTTTTTGTTTTCGTTTGTTTTTTTTTTTTTTGTTTGTTTGTTTTTTTTTTTTTCTTCTTGACGTTCTTTCAAATACCGAACTAACTGCCGTTTTATCGCACTTCTCAATTAAAAAAAAGAGTTTTCAAAATTAGGGAGAGAAATAAGAAGTTTCAACACAAACATGCGTAGTAACCCAAACGCAAAATATAAGTAACCAGATTACCTATTTGCTTGTTTTTCAATCCATGACAGGCTATTTAAGTCAAACGAACGGCTGTCTTAAACCTGGGGCATAATATGTTGACATATCATTCCCAGCTTAAACGAACTAAAATGAAAAATTATGACTTTGCAAATGTTTACCTTTTGAAACAAATTGTGATACATTGAATACAGATACGAAAACTGTACAAGGTATTAAAACATCTTATATTAAAGAAAAGAGAGGAGAAAGATACCAGAGGGACATTCAAACTCATAAGTCGAAAATCAACTGACAGCTCCATGGCTAAGAAAGAAAAAGACCAACAGATAAACAATAGTACACAAAACACAACATAGAAAACTAAAGACTGAGCAACAAGAACCCCACCAAAAATAGAAACGTATGAATTGGGCGAACTTTATTTTCAAATATGTTTTACTGACGGTGACGAATTTGGTCTCACTAAAACAAATTACGTTTTCAACAAATTCAGATCACTTGTGTAGTACTGCGATATGTTTTAAACGTTGATTTTGACAATTCCGAATAGGGTCATATAATTCCATGAAGTAAAAGGCTATTCGATTTTTAAAAGGAAACTAACCTTTCAGTTTATGGATTACTTTACATTCCGAAATCGTATAATAAACTTTACCGAATTTTATTATTAAATGTTAACGATAGCGGATATCTATTTACAAAAACTTGCCAACTGCACGAGCTGAGATTTATAGAGATTGGCAGTAAAGATGACATAACAGTTAACACAAGTGACTTTACTAACCAAAATGTTCAACTTCTAGTAATGGTTGCCAGGTATGAAAAAATCTTTAGGCTCCGATGGGGATCCTTAAGTCGAAAGAAAAATATATTCATTGAATTGATTTGATTTTATATATTTTATGAATAAATTTACTTTGTCGGCTTGATATTGAAAATTTATTAATTTTTAATATTTATCAGACTTATCATTAAAATACGCATCAATCATAATATAGCGTCTCCAGTGTGAAACTGAAGAAGAGGACAGAGGAGTAAGTTCGGTAAGGGTCATATTTGGTCCCGATTATTTTTCAAGATAATAAATGTTTTAAAGTGATAAAAAGACCTGTTAGAAAGTTAAATAGAATTTTTTCGTCAGAGTTTTAATTTTAAAGTTTTTACTTTTAAATCTCAAGTCATTTGCGAAATTTGACAAAATCGTCCAGATTTCAACGAAACTAAGGTCGCGAAAATATAGAGAGCAGGCGTCGACAAACTAAATATTCAGGTAAAATCTGTAAACTGTTATAACAAACAGTATGTTTTGCGGCAGACGGTATGTTCCGGCTGAAAAATGGGAAGTTTAGAATGGAAAGTTAGAATCATAAATTAAGAAAATAGTAGTTTATCGAGATTTTATCCGTCCGAACCACAATTTGTTAATAAATTCTAGTTTCAAGTCGTCCATCAACGTCAGCATTGAAGATAAGATCAATATATAAAGCAGAATTTTTAGTTGCAATAGTATTCTTACTCTGAATTTAACTGAGATATATGACAAACATGTACAAGCACTCGATGATTTCTTCCGTTAATGTCATTACGGTTTTAATATTACATGTATGATGTATCATCAATTTTATTTGTTTAATTAATCATGAACGGTAGCTTAAGGATAAAACCGTTTTTGATTTAAGTTGTCTTTAGTAGAAAAAGAATATTTATACTTGTAGTTAATAATGTTAGTAAGGGTTAATTTTTATAATAAAATGTATTAAATGTATCTTTTAAAAAAACTTACGATACAGTGTTTGTCATATGACCATATACAGGCTAATTGTGTGATATTATCACCAAGTAAGGAAAAACACAAATGTCCGTTGTATATCTTTCAGAATGAAATTTGAGCCATCATATATTTTACGGCAATAATCACCTATTAAATTAAACAAGTTATTTTAAAAATTGATAGCGGCGATGTTCATAGCATTAAATCTTTTCTGCCAACACACAGACCTAATATATAAAGCCTAAAACTTTGGGAAGTGTAATCAAAATGAGATGCATGTACATTCCAAAAAGGCGATCTTATATCGTATAGAAAGACAAATATTGAATACAGATCAATGTCGCAGTGCCGAAATAATTGTCTTTTAATACGATAAATTAAACGTGTATATTTCTCGTCGGTATCGTTTTACAAATCTTAAGAACTATCTTTCCTACAAAAACGTATGAAAACAAACTAGCGTCAATGATTCAATTTATATATTTCGTATAAAGTAAAAAGATACAATATAATGTCCATTTCTTCATTTTTGTTAGTAAAGATATAATATTTAATCGTGCTACTTAGGCAACTCTAACTATTCCTGCGTTTAGATGTCTAAAATATCTATGGTCTGCAGAATTTATAAAGTACCAATTTGGCAAAAGATATTAAAAAAAACACAGTAGTCTATTGTTTATATATAAATACAAGAACTCATACATATATGTACTATAACAATTTATTTTAACATACATTTCTAGTTTAAAAAGAGAGGCGAAAGATACCAAAGGGACATTCAAACTCATAAGTTGAAAATAAACTGACAACGCCATGGCTAAAAAAGACCAACAGACAAACAGCAGTACACAAAACACAACAAAGATAACTAAAGACTGAGCAAAACGAGCCCCACCAAAAAATGGGGGTGACCTCAGGTGCTCCGGAAAAGTAAGCAGATCCTGCTCCACATGTGGCACCCGTCGTGTTGCATATGTTATTACCAACCCGGTCTTAAGTCTAATTCGGTAAGTCGCATTCGGGAAAAAAGGTGACTGGATTTTAGTATAGACAACTGAAGCATATCCGCTATCACCTGTGAAACGGATATTTAACATTTTTGATAAAATTCAAATAAATCAAAGAAGGACTTTGAACCCTTACACTTCACATGTTTGATTTATATAGTTTAAAAACATGTAACGAAATCTATCATTATTGTTAACGTCATCGAGAAGTAAATCCTTATTTTATTCTTTTCCACTCTTATCTACAAACAAATATATCATGGTAGATAAACATCATCATCAATAAACTGATTATAGATAGCAGGATTCAAATTGTGTACGCCGGACTCGTGTTTCGTCTACAAAACACTGATCAGTTACGCTTGAATCAAACAAGTTAAAAATGCCAAATTAAGTAAGAAATTCTCTTCGTGAATTATCATAAATTACAAATACATCTGAATGAAAATATACAATGAACATATTTATAGGCGCTGAGAATAAGTAACAGTTGTTTGCTATTTGGAATCATTAAAGCATCGCAAGGTATGTGTTGAAAATTTGGATTTGATTCATTTATAATATGAAGTTTAACATAATTTTTTTTAATTCTTTTCTTAAACTGTGATGAGATCAATTTTAAAAATCAATTATCACGGAATCGTTATTAGATTTTATTTGTGTTTCCCATGTAAAAGTTGTCCTGGTTATATCTGGATTTTATTGCTACTATCTTCTTTTGGCATTTGTACCATTCTCTGGTAAGTTTACTTTTGAACATATGTTGTCGTTTATTTTACCGATAACTGTTTTGCCATGTCTACTTATATAATACGTACAATATTGTAATAGGTTAAATATTAAACTGGTTGATAGTTGGTCAATATCATCAGAATATAAAACATAAACGACCTAAGAAAGACATTTTATCTGATATGGAATTATCACATTCGCGTTTGTACTCGCATAATCAACACGATGGACGGGTGCCAAATGTGGATCAGTAGCTTCTTACCATTCTGGGATTCCTTATCTTAGTTCCAAAATTGATGGGGTTAGTGTTGCTCAATCTTTAGTTTTCTATGTAATGTTTTGTTCATTTGGGGTTTTTTTTGGGGGGCCATAGTGTTGTTAGGTTGTAAGGTTTTCTTCCACTTATGACTTCTGAATTTCCCCTTGGCATATTCCGCCTCATTTTGTCTGTACAAAATTACAAACAAATGTGCTTCACGTCTCATTGACTTTTACTCAACGTCGCCTTTTAATTTATAACATGAGCTGGATTTATCTAATATAAAGACATGTAACGGAACCTTTTCGAATGATAGGCATTGTACTCATGATATTACTAATGGATGTACAATGGCAAGGCATTTAAAAGGAGGAAGTATGATTTGCGATCAAATTGTTTCTCAAATAAAATCTCCATTAGATTAATTGTATACTTATATTCATTGTCGAAACTTTATTTTTGGCAACGATTGTGTTTCAAGTTAGGCAAAAAGTATCCGTATATAACATTTTTATTCAATATTGATCATCTCTATTATGACGTCACTTTTATAGCGTCTTATTCATGTGTATCATGATGACTAAATGGCGATGCAGGGTACACGCCAAGCAAAAATTACATGTTAAGGTCAACCCAACGTCTTTAAAGTCAGTCAGATATTCTTATAATATGTGAAGCTCTAATTGGTCGATAACTTATAAAGCTGTTTATAAATTAAACAGAGACAATCAGAGATCTACCATTTATGTATGGACTATCAACAATAAAAATTTCATTTTCGGAACTTAAAAACACGGTCAAATAAGCTCCAAAAATGTTCGTTTTAAGACTTGCATAATTGCAAAACTGCCGACTAAGCTTCATTGTGATGCAAATATTTTTTCAGATATGAGCAACAACTATACCAAAACATATATTTTGCTTCTAAATCTATGTGATACAGATGTTAAGGTATTTAAAATATCTTATTTGGGTAAATTTGTTGCTCATATCTATGTTTCACAAAAACAATATGCAAATGGCCTTTTGTGGTAAAATATGTCAATTTAAAAATGTTAATGACGTCATAGCGACAAGAACAAACACAAGTGACCTTTCTGTACTGTAGTATCTATATTTTATTAACCCTAGTCATTTATCAATAAAATTTACATAATTTTTGAAAAGTTTGAATTATTTTACTATTTATTTTTAATTTCAAGTCCCAGATTATGGCTTTCATCATACACCCGCCTTTGTTCAGCATATTAGCGTTTGCAGTATAGCAATGCAACGTATTTTTTTTTAACACTTTGGTCAATATTAGGAATGTAATTTCTATATATATATAAATAAATATATGTATATGTCAGGTAGTAGGATAAATCCTGTCACATTGCGATCAATGTAATAGCCTGTAGAACCTGTAAATAAATATAGTTTGAAATACTATATTGATCGTAGTCTACTTGTGGCTTTTAAAAGAAACTATTGTAGGTTTTATGTTTATGTATACCAATACATGCATGTAAAAATCACCTATGAGTTTGAAATACCTACATTACAAACTATATTCCTAATATCAATTCCCCTGTATTAGTCACTGGTCGGGTCAACAACGTGACATGCAAACTCCGGTGCGTCATAAAAGAATGTTTATGACACACCAAATTTGTACTGTTACATATACATAAAACTGATATATTGAAATACACATGGCACAATATCTATAGTTCTTGTGGTCATCTTATTACCGGAAACCCTGGCAGCGTAACAAATGAGCAACACAGATAGAGTTATAAGCCAAAGCCTGAAATATTGAAACCCAATTAATTCGCTAACTATAAAATAACGAAGGCTTTGTAACTGATAGAGATAGTACCAGAAAATATATATTACTTTAGAGAAATTTGATTCTTATTCTGATCTATGCAATACATATCGGTCATGTATTCAGATGGGTATGGAAAAACTACATTGTGCTATTTGCACATGTGTTGCGACCACTTCAAAGAAGCTGGAGCACGACACATATGTCATTGTTTCAACAGACAACGCAATCATAATTTGGTTTCATAACAAAAGTTAGAATTTACATGACATTTGGTAAACTCACTTTAACATCAAAATATACCTCATTCACGATAGAAGGAATTTAGAAAAAAAACACGTGAGTACTTTTCTGATTTTGTTTTAAAATTTGAAAGGACGATTTGTATTTGATACATCACATAAATCGTTAGAAATAATAATACAAAGATGTGCATTTATTATATTATATATAATTCTGAAATTGTTACTATCACTCGTTCAATAATAATAGAAGGCTTTCAAAATTTTGTGATGGTGTATATCCGATCAACGATGTCAACACATAAAGATTTTTAGAATTCCTCCTTCTAAATCGCTGTCACAATTATGATAGCAAAAATATAAAAAAAATCAACACACTAATCCTCGTGATCAACTGAAAGATCAACAACTTATTTCGAAAGGACCATGATCGGGTACTTTCCCATGGCAAGCGAGTAAGAAAGGGTTAAAACAGCCAAACAGCAAAGAACCATTCTCACACTAGACTATCTGTATATAATGACATCAAAAAATAAAACTCTCTCTCTCTCTCTGTGAAAAAAGTGAAATTATTGCTGGTGAAAATTTAGAAGAATATCTTATTAGTTTACATCTTTATTGTTATGATTTTATGCGACAAGTTTTTGTAATAACTTAAATCAGAACAGGTAAAAAAAAGAACAATAATCAATGTGTTCATTAATTTAACCTGTTTAATTTGTTGGTTAATTTGTCCAATAAAATCAATCAATGACCATTACTTGTTTGAAATTACGAAGGGTTTTTACAGAATTTGGTAATATTATGTATCCTGTTTCTTTGTTGAATGTATGGTCATACAAAAGCATTGGTCGGTTAATGTTATCGTAAAACAAATCTTGGATGAAAATCACGTTTTTCGTTCACGCAATCATCATTGAATGTATGGGAATATTTTGTAAATTTTTTAAGATATAATCATTTAAACATGTATCAGTTTTCAATTTATATATATTGCTCGCATTATTTCTGAATCCCAGAACGTTTTGAATTCTTTGGATATATAAGTTTGATGAAAGGAAAATGTTCTGTGTGAATATACTGCTACTCTATTTAGTTATTGTCGTTTCACTATTGCCAAATGTTGGTAAGTGGTTAAAACTAGATTAAATGTATACAAAAGTCAAACTCACTCAGAGGGGAGAAAACTCATATACAGAAAAATGATATAAAATTAATTATCGTATAAGAGATATTGCTGATGTGTTCGCTGGCTAGAGTCTTCTATGGGTAGGTGTTAAAATATATTTTGGAAATCGAACCAATAAAATAACCAATTTATGAAATTACTTATTTCCTCCCAGATATTGATCACTGCATATGTAAGATCTTTATGTCTTCTATAAGTATAAATGCATTAAATAAACAGGAAGAAGGTCACACATATCAGAATTTTTGTCCCTCTGTACTCTTCAACTTCGTACCTTAATAGGCATTTTTTTATCATTTGTTATTCGTGCGTCACTGATGAGACTTTTATTGACAAAACGCGGGTCTGGCGTATAAAAGTTTAATTTGGTATCTATGACTTTTTTATATCAACATTTGGATCACAGATTCTCATTTAAAAAATGAAAACAACGTATATGCGCCCGAGGCGTTCTTTTCTAGATTTGCCTTCATTGGGAACCCTAAAACCAAAATATCGATCACTGCAACGAGGAGACTGATACCACTTACAATTTCGGAATTAAGGTCGTACATTATAAAACTTCCCTTGTTGGTATTTTCAGATGACGAATGACAATACACATAAATGTATTTAAAAAAACATTTCAATATAATTTTGATTTCAGTATGCCAATGTACATTTCCGTCCGAGCTGATAGGAATCTGGAAAGGAGCTGACCGAGGAGACATGACATTTGTGAATTCTACATACATCAAAGTTTATTCAGTAAACATTCCAGGTGTCAATTTTTTCCACTTTTATTGTTCCGAACAACGAGGGAATAAATACTTCTTAAAGTAAGGGAAAATATTAAGACAACGTATTCGATACTTTATGCTCTATACGGAAAAGGGAAAATAAAATGAGAACAGCACAAAATTATCCAATGACATACAACAAAATCAGTGGACAGAATTTTAAAAATGCTCAGAAAAAATATCGTATAAATAAAAGTACTTTCATCAGTCTGATATCTTCAAATAGTGTTTAGGAAAGAATCAAGGAATTCTGCAAATTATATTTTTAAAGTATTAAATATCAAACAAAAGAAATCGAAATATTTACAAACAATATATTTGGTGTATCAAATTTAGAATATGTTTTAATTAACTCAATTCTCAGTCTAACAAGACAAAAACAAAAACACAAACACAGTGTTAGCTAGATTACACTATATTGAATTATTAAAACTTGATAGTTTAAAATCTTGGTACGAGGCGCCACGCCAGGATTAATTCTGCATAGATTCAATTAAATAGTTTTGTTTTACCAAATCTTAACCGTTTAAACCTTGTATGTGTAGAACAGAGTGGGAATACATTATTTGAAGTAAGCGAAATTTTAGATAACCTTAATTTTTCAAATATGCTGAAAGCGGAATATAGTTTTTAACAGACAATGGAGACAACTACAAAAATAAAACAGAGATACGAACAGATAACATAATGTAGTAGTTCGTTCATTAAAAAAAATAAAGAAAATCAAAACTTTATGATATTATAAGTAGATCATAAAGGGTTTGCATTTATAGTTTTTGGTTGAACAATAATTACAATAACTCTGCTTTATATCATACCCCACAATATAATGGGAAATATATTACAATCGCGTTGTGCATCCGTTCGTCCAACAAATATTTCCTCAGAAACAACTACTCAGAATAACTTCATATTTTGTCAGCAGCTTGACGGTGAGGAGATGTAACGTGTGAGCATTTTGGATCCGTCAGATACCTACTTCCTGTTTTCATTTATTTTGATTTTTTCCATATGTTGAATGAACTTAAACAACATCTCGAAGCCTTTATATATGCTGTAAAATTTAACTTGAAATTGGGTTTTATAAAAGAAAAAAGGATATTACACTACTGAACCTACCCAATATCTCCAATATTCAAGTTCTACATAATTCCGGTATAGATAATCGAGATAGAAAGTAAACACAACATCTCGATGCTTTTAATCCAGGTCAAGAAAAATCGGAAAACCAAAGCAAAACCATGAATAAATATCGAGGTCTCGATCGGAAATATCATGATCTTTGTGTAATCAGTGGAAAATTTGGACAAATACACTATATACCAGTGAAATACATTGAGATCCATGACAAGGTTATCAACACTTTGGATTACGATGAGGTCAACAAAAGAATATTGCTTCTATTGATTTCATCTTTCAACTGTTTATAACTTCATTGTTTTAAATTTAACGGACCTGACAACGTAATGGAATTTAAAAAAAAGTCGAGAAAAAGACAAACAATTCAATAAAATACTACAAAGAGAACTAAAGACTAGGCAACACGAACTCCACCAAATCTCATTCGGTGTTGTAACAATCGAGGAAAAGAGGAGGGGTCTGATATCTCCAATTGTGTTTAACTATATCAAAATCTTTTCGATATCTGTCAATTAAATATAGATAACCAGAAAATAATCTACATTTCAAACAAACATAACTCTATAGTCGAGTTGTTGTCTCTTTGACACATTCCCCATTTCTATTCTCAATTTTATAAATTATTGGTGTATATAAACAAGACTAAGAAAAATTAGAAGACCGAAGCAAGACTTAAATAAATTTGAGGTCTTGAATGAAGATATCGTGATCTCTACTTAGTCGTAACAATTGTGGACACATTAACCATACATCAGTGACTTAAATTGAGATCCATGATGATAGAAATTATAAATTAACAAACTTTACAAGAGAAAATATATCTTTTACTCATCTATTGCTTATTTTTATTTTATTACATTATTTTAACTAAAGATATATTGAATTGGTGTTATTGCTGTTTACAATGTATTTTCTTTTTTTTAAATATGTGATTATACCTTCATTGAAATTTTGTTCTAAATGAAAAGTGTACCAACTTGTATAAATGAAAAAGGCAATCAGCTTTTTCAAAATGTATTTATGAGAAACGATCTTCATCTAAATATTTTGATATATAAATCTTTATATATTTGTATCTGTAATACTGTTTATAAAATTTCCGGCACCAAATTAGTGGTTAACGAATACAAAGGCAGATAACAAAAATACACGTTTTTTTTTATTTCAGAGCGGAACAAGAGAACAAAATTTTTGGTTTAATTATCTATTTTTATATGTGCATAGAAATACACGTTGTTGATAGTGACATTGCCTATTACTACCAGTTGACAGGTGAGTATTATTATATGATGATGAAAATGCTGTAACTAGCGATTACTCAATTAATGGAATGAAGAGATCTGAAAGCTTTATCTCTTTTTAACACAAGGGTAATTTTCAATAAGCCTTTTAATCATTACAATTGAACAATATTAAAGCGTTTTAACCAGATGTACATGTTTTTAGGAGGGTGTGAACAATAATATCTGTTTAAATATATGAATAAAAACTTTAAAAGATTTGGACACATTTTGATTATTTATCTAAAGAAGAAAATAGAAATTAGAACACCGGAAAAAAACCAAATCCAGTCGCAAGCGTAGGTTTGTTAGATCATTAAGTTATTCTGTGACAAAAGTTGCCTTAAATATTATCTAATCGAACAATGTAAATCTACAGTGATTTACAATATGATGCAATGGAAAAGAAGTGTTTTAAATCTTTTAAGAATGAATTGTTATATTAAGACTCTTTAATACTTAATTGCATATATTTGTATTAATAATCGGACCTGAAACAAGGTGGAACAATGTAAAATTGTCTTCACACCTTTTAGACTCATTCGTGTTGATTCAATGAGACTTAGATTAATTTAAATAGACGGAACTCTAATCCTAGTAAAGCTTAGATTTTATTTCAATGAGGGGAAAACAACACTCAGTTAGCTAGATGGTGCCTGTTTAATCTTTCGCAATTTCATCATAGCATTTTGGTAGAAAACTGTTAGTACTTCGAAAGAATAATCTCTGCATTTTATCTCCAAATTTTTATGGGAAGTGCATGCATATTAATTGCTGAGGAACAAAAATAATTGGACATGCATAAAAATAAAGAAGATGATGGATATCGTCAAAGATACTTATAAATTATCGGTGGTTTCAAACGAGGGGATGTTTCTCAGCTACAATCTCATCGAAGGGCGAGTAGCATATGAAAAATTATCACCAAAAAAGATCAAAGGAAAAATACAAAAAACCGATAAAACAAATTAACGACTTTTGCAGGAAAGTTGTAAACCTGGTATCTATGATGGGTTTTTTGAAAAGGAGAAAGTATAATTTTTATAAAAAAAGAATTGTCCACATCTAAGCTCCCTTTCAATTCTCGTTTGTAAATTACAATGTATATAATTGCTTGGAAGAATATCCCCATACTCCGTAATACATTATTACGGCAACATCTATTTTTTTAGTACATTTAATTGCTTTTGCTTTCCTTTATCTATTCATTTATTAGAACACGATCAATACTTGTTTGATAACTTAGTTGGGGATGGCACAAACTCGGCTACTTTTAACAACGTATGCAGCAGGACATTGGTCACTCGTAATTTCATTACATTAGTTCGAGACGGTAAGTTTTACTTGTGCTTGTGGAGCAATAAGACAGAATGCTCATAAATCTTGTTAGGATCCATGTTTCTATTAACAGTGTAAACCCAATATATAGCTATAGTGTTTATGTTCCTATGAACATGCTGGCTTCCATAAAACGAAAAGCAATTACAGTATGACAAGCTCTATTTCGCACGGTTAATGCAAACTACGATTAATCATAAAGAGAATATCAACACTATATATTCTTAATTCCAGCAAAAAGAAAGAAAATGGACAAAAACAAATAACATCAAAATATATCTAAAAACAACCCTTGACGATATGTTCATAGGAAACCAGTTTGATGTGCATTGTGCGATTTTTACGATTCTCAGACAAGTCCTCGCACATTGACAAAGACATATAGTCAAATCAAACAAGTGAAATAGAACTGTACTCTCTTTCCCTCTCTCCCTTTAAACTTGATGAATTTGGTAACAAACTGGAATTAAAAGAACTTCAAAATACACATTTGGTAAAAAGCACTCAATTCTTTAATGCAGGCATAAGAGATGAAAAACAAATTCAATAAAACAAAGAATGATTGTACGATAGAATCATCGCAGTCTACGAAAGCAAACTCCAATTTCTTAACATGCTGATGTAGACGAAATTTGTTTATTTGATTTAACGAATTGTTAAAATAATCTATCAATAGTTCCTGAATGAGTTGGAACATTAATTCTTAATCATTTTTATATTTGTCAATAAAAATTAAGTTATAAATCATGCCCGTACCGGAACATGACTTCTGATCTAATGACAAATTCTAAGATTATCACTCTTCCAAGAGCTGCAAACAGTACATGTAGTAACTGAAAATAACACTTAATAAAAGTAGGGCGTTCAAAGCGCTTTTTTACATTCATGCATTATCCCGAATATTTCCGCTGTCACAATGCCTATGTTATAAAGCCACAAAAAGGAGATAGTTCGATGAATTTAATTGGTAACAGGTAAATGGTATGAAAAGGAACTGGAATTCTGCTCGTAAAATATATGGTTTAATAGAAGTCTTGACGTAACTATCCTGTCGAGGTCGATAAAGTATGGTTTACGCTGACACGAATCACATGAACATATCACAGCGACGAATAGTGCTAGTGTGAAAACTTTACGGTTAAATTTTCAACAATTGAGATTATTAAAAAAAAAAGAGAGATATGTATGATTTTGGAGTACGTTTACTGTGTAATAACATACAATAATTGCAAACATGTTTTTGGTTTAAGAATCAAGTAATGAGTAGCACCACCGAAGTGGTGACAAACATATTATGACATTGATTTTGATTAGGTTCAATAGCTGATGGCAGTCTCAGTAAAACCTGTCCAGAAGACCTGTTAGCCAAGTTTGCTAATGTTTCCATTCAGCACAATGACAAAGAGAACACATCGACATGTCCTAATACTGTATTTGATGTCTGTACAGATGACACTGTAATCAACATAACATATGTTGACACGTGTGTAAATGCGACAACGGACAAAACCTTGTCAGGTTAATATCATAAACATATCTAATTAATCATACAAAAGCGTTATGTATGTATACATATATATAAAAGATTTTCAACTGCTAATTTATGTTAAGAGTTTATGTTAAGAGTTTATGTTAAGTATAGAAGAAACTGTTTTTTTTTTTTTTTTTTTTTAACTTTGAAAGTTTGGTTAATCTTTATTAAGAGCAATTCGAGAAAAGTGAGAATCGACAATTATCTATTTACAAATGTACGTTTTATAATCATTTTAATGTATAAGGTTAAATGTGTTTTATTTCTACTTTGAAAAACAAAAACTGCGCTCTCTAGCTTCATTTCAAACGATGTCATTTTGATTCTTGGTAACTATTCGCTGTAAAAATTTTGTTATTTTTTTTCATTAATTTAATAGTATGCGCTGCAGTTCTCGATTTATGAATTATGCTATCATATACTTATCATATAGTATTAAAACATTCGAAACGGCTTTGTGTTTTCACTCCAAGACATAAATTAACAAAGATAAATTCGGCACCGTCTTTTGAAATATTTGTTTTCAATTCTGTCCAACTACGTAATTGATGTTTCGATCTTTTTGAGCGCCACTCAGTAGTCCGTTGTAGAAGAAATGCGCGGCTTCATATCTACATTTTGGGTTATGCCACTGATGATGTAAACGAGACGCGGGTCTGGTGAACTAAATCAAAAGCTTTTTTTGGGGGACTGATCTTTATATATTTTCAATAGGGTGAACGTTTATCAAATAGTCTATATTTTTTTCATATTCTAATCAACATTACTTAGTAACGCTTGTTTTGAAACATTATGAAGTATATCCAAAATAATTAAAAAAAAAAGAAATGTCATTCATTATGAATTTGAATACTACAAATGAAGAAATAATTTCCATTGAAGCTAAACAAATACAAATGATGTTTGCGTTAAAATATCTCGAAATACGTGTATACATAAATTATTTGTATACGGTTCCCGAGTTCGTTATAAGGTTGGCATGGTCTGAATGTGAGACACACCTTCTTTTTAAAAATGTTAAGAACATTGATATATAAGATTTGAATAAAAATCATTAACCTATTTTTATATCACATGAAATGACAGGGAGCAAGTGCCAATAGAAACATGTGTATTCCTGTTGCATGCAAACATCACATAAAGCAGAGGTTTTTCAACGATCGTTTTTTGTAACGAAAGAGTAAACTTGATGTAGTATACAACGTCTTGAACTATTGTTTAAGCTTTGAATATTCATATATTTTGGCCCCAAGCATCATTAGCGAATTCGTATCTGGTGTAGTAACATTGGTACTGTTAGTTTAAGTATACGCACTCTTGACATTATGTTGTCTGCAATGATATCTTATCTTATTTCAGATCTAGGAGTATATCGTTGTATACATGATGTGAAAGACGGATCAGATACCTACTTATCAATATGGAACGATGATCCTGGAGTTTCCAATCCATTTAGCTGTCTAGTAAGTTGTCGTCGTGTTACTAAAAATTTACACAAAAGGGAAGATTTTGATATAGGATATCGGACAAAGAGAAAACAAACAGAATTTGACCTTATGGTATTGTTATTCTCTTTCTGGGTTGCGTAGGAAAGACACTTCGTGATTAATGTTAATAATAATTGCAGAAACCGGAAAAAACAAGTCAAACTCTATCGCTGACGTTTGTAATATAGGGGCGACGAATATTTATACTCACTATTCGAAAACGAAATTATAATGACATGCCAAAAAAAAAAACACGACCAAACAACAATTAAGAGTTTTCAAAACACCACCTATAAAACTTAATACTGAGCCAAACGAACCTTAATAAAACGGGGGATTATATGTAATACTTAGGGAGGGTAAGCAGATCCTTCTCCAAATTCGAACTTTCTTAGATAAAGTTTACTCTAATTTAGTTGTCTTAATTGCAAGTTCTCCTAGGTCATTTCATACATTTCGAGTTTTATCAATATAAACTTTTGTTGAAAACACGTAGTTGATAATTCATGTCAAATGATCAAGCGACGGAATAAAGACATATGTTCGTTTAGTAAACACTTTCGGAAAAAGATTTTGCACTAGCCCCATGATTTGATAACTTTTGACGAGTCAGTACATGATTGTTGTTGCAGAGTGGATAATAGCTCATCGATGAAACTCAGCTTGTAATTGTCCACGATGTCTCATCAGAAAAACTATTAAACAGTCGAAAGATCAAATCAAGTACGACATTCTAGAGCATTGAAAACAACAATTCCCAAAAGCTGTGAAATCAGATATCATTATTTCAGATGTCGTTTTCAAGATGAAAACGATGTTATTTTAAGTGTTCAAACGACTTCCTACTGTATATATGTGTTAGTGTTCACACTCCATAGGACAAAGTTGATATTAGACACATTTGGCTGTTCTCTTTATGGTTCTTTGGTCATATAGCTTCTGACGGTCATTCAGGTATTGTTTTATCCTTTGGTTCCGTTTAAAATTGTTGCAAAATAAAATAGAATGTTAGGAAAACATTTACCCAGAAGCGAAAAAAATCGTTCTCTATAAAATTATGCATGAGGATACATTAGGGCGTATACATATTGTATCCTATAGTACTGTTAAAAGTCCAATTACTCTGGAATGTCGAATCACAAAATTTGGTATTTTGATTATTTGTTAAAAGTTCTTTGATTTATGTATAAAATATTGTCATTTGTTAGTTAAGCACTTTATTGTAACAGTACTCAAAATGTAGTTAAGTGGTTGTCGTTTGTTACTGTGTTACTTATTTGTTTTCTCGTTTGATTTGTTTTACATTTGTCATTTCGGGGCCTTTTGAAGCTGACTATGCGGTATGGGCTTTGTTCATTTGTTCATTGTTGAAGGCCGTACGGTGACCTATAGTTGTAAATTTCTGTGTCATTTGGTCTCTTGTGAAGAGTTGTCTCTTTGGCAATCACACCACATCTTCTTTTTTATATCTATTGCTTAATACCTTTATAATAATGATAATAACTGAGTTTACAGAAGCCCATTTATAAGACTTATAACAATGAAGGTCTGATATGGATTCAATTAGGTTAATCCCCAGTCGTTTCCCATAATATTTATTATAATTTATGGACAAAAAATAGTTGGATGGGCTTTTTTTTGCACTGTAATAACAACTTTGGCATCACGTCTTTCTTTATAGAAATCAAATAAGCAACAGTTCGTATACTTCTTTTCGTTTGACAGTTAATCCTATGTAAACCGCCTTATGTCATCGTACATTTGATATTTAATGAAAATTCATTTGCCACTGGACGTTAAGCAAACACAAATCAATGGAAAATCATTGATGAAGATTGCATTTTAACTTTTTGGCTAATATAAGCCATTGAATAACAATAGAACCGATAAAAACATTCTTAAAAGAGTTTTAGTAACCTCTAAATTTTTGTGTGTTTTATAGGCTTGGTTTTAGTTAGACCGTGGGTCTCGAAAGATTCTGAACTTTAGTATAATCTCAAAGTAATTAAGACTCGTACCAAGAGAAAGATACCAAAGAAATATTTAAATTCATAAGTCGAAAACTAACTGACAAGGACATGGCAAAAAATTGAAAAACGACGAAAAGTTAAACAACAGTACACAAACAAAAAATAAAAACTAAAGCCTTAACAACAAGAACCCAAACTATTTGAGTGACTGTTGATTATTGAAGGCTAAAATGTGACCTCTAGATACATGTACAAGACATGGTAACAATGTTATTTATTTTCTGTCTATCTTCTATCCCACATCTCTTTTTCATACTAATCGTTTACTTTCTTTATATTTTAGAAAGCTTTAATCCTATTGTTTATTTGTTAGGCTTTAAGAAGAACTGGTAATACAATTTACGCTACAGAAACCCCAAAGTTCTGCAGTAATACAACAACATCTACTGAAGCTGAAGCAGGTGGCGTTAAACTTGTTATATGGGATGTGATAAGTACGTTTAACTTAATAATCTTGAACATATTGTCATCAATATCGTAACAAGTATATTCAAGTTACAGTTTACGTTACATTTCAATTTGGAGCATATGGCGGTCTGCGTTTATCTTTAATTAATACAGTATTACCAGCTCTAATGTACTATATCTTTATGTTGCATTAGAAAAGGAGTAACAGTCTTTTAGTTGCAGAGTTGAGGCGGTCAATTAGAAATTAACGATTGCAAATATCCGTTAGCTGCATTTGTGACCGTCGGCACCTCTTCAACTATAGTACCGTTTTCCTTACTTGTATACTTGCCCATCAATGACATTTCAATAAATTTACTAACCATCAAACTTCAAGATTAAAACAAAAAAACTGTGGCATCAGTGATGAATTTCTAAACTTTTACTTTGTACACTATTGTAACTTTGCTATAAAGATTTCATCATGTGTGAAATCATATGATAACTTTATATTTAAAATGATAAGTCGTACATATGATGTTATTGTTTCTGTTAAGCCTAATTTTGGACATCAACAACAACAAATTTCTAAAGATGTCTAAACGACAAAAGAATTACAATCGACTGACAGTCATCAATTAGGCTTAACTAGCTTCTGACAGTAACATTAAACGCAAAACAAATATTCCATTTCAAAAACAAACAAAAATATCCTTCGTAAATAAATAATACTTGAAATAGACTACAAGACTTACTAATAAATATAGGACAGTTAAACACCCACTACCAACACTGGACATTCATGATTGCAGCGATAAGTGATTCTTAAAACTTAAACTTCTTATATAGGGTTCATTAAAGATGTATTTTTTTGTTGAAATGAAATACATTTTTCATGTTATTTCCATTCCAATATTGTAGCAAAATCAACAGATACCACACTCAGTCCTCCCGTCGAGACAACAGAGGTTCCGCCAAGTCTTTCTGTATTGACAACAGAGTCTCCGCCGAGTCATTCTGTGGGGACAACAGAGGCTTCAACCATTCTTCCTGCAGTAACAACAGATGGTCAACCAAGTCTAGTTGGTCTTTATGCACATATAATATCCGCAACTGTGTTTCTGCTCATTCTAGTCGCGTTTTTTGGAATATGTTGCTGTCGAAAATATAGATGTGCGAGCAAGAATTAAAATTTTCCTAAACAAGAAATTGAACCATACAGCAATCGTTCGCATAAAGGAGAGAGTAAAATGAAATAATGAAAAATATATATATTTGATACAAATTTTATAAAACATGTAAAATTTTATTATTTAAATCCTCAACAACCGCTACATGTTTTCCATTTTTTTCATCCTGCATGGACAAAGTCATATCTGTTAGTCATATCATCGTTCAAAAATACATTAATTAATAAAATGAAAGAGAGACTATTCCGAATACCATCTGGTGTTAGTTTCTTGGCTAATTTCAAATCTAGAATTTCATAAAAGATGCTTTTATCACATTCAAATAGAATAGAACATATTATTATACCTTGATTTGTTTTCCTTGAATTACTTGAATATATGCAGAATTTATTGATTTGTGATACAATGTAAAAGAGAGGCGTAAGACACCAAAAGGACATTCAAACTCATAGGTCGAAAAAAAACGTAAACGCCATGTTTATAAAAAAACACGGACAATTAACAGTTTAAAAACAACATAGAAAAACTACAGACTGAGCACCATAAACACCACCAATCACTGGGATGATCTCAGGTGCCTCGGAAGGGTAAGCAGATCCTGCTCCACATGTGGCACCCGTTGTGTTGTTCGTGTATGTACAAACCCGATGATAAGATTAATTCGGTAGGTCATATTCAGGGAAAAGGGGACTGGTTTGTAGTAACGACAATTGGAACATATCCGTGGTCAACTATGAACCAAATATTTCATAACAGTTAACCAACTCTAACTTCATCGTTTGCAAATATTGGTTTATTAGCTTCCTTGTGAGCAGATACTCTCTATCAGGGAAATCATGATTGGAAATACAAGCTCTGGAATATCGTATCAATTAGGTGATATATGTTCCGTATGCAGGCGCTGCTGGAATGATGTTACATAGAAATGGAAAGTTCACAATTCGGAACCTGCAATCATCTCTTTAGCCGTAAAATTTTGTTTTCAATCGACCCTCATTGTCACTTCTTAGATGTAAGTCAAGATATGAGGCAGACTTAACTGTTAAGCTTTTTTTAAACCCATATAATTTGATATCTAGCCTTTCAGTGTTATTCAATTGCTAACAAAGCTGTTAGGGGTTTAATAAAGATTAATACTCTGTGATTTAAACAATGATTACAGACTCTTATACACAAGAACAAGTATAAGTAGGTCAGTAACACTTATTGAAGTAGAGCTGAAAATCCTGCAGCGACTATTTTTGCGTACTTTTTGAATTATTTTGACTTTCGGTTGAAGTTTAATCGGTACAGAAGTCCTACGTTATCACTTTTGATAGGAATGAGGTTTAACATACAGGAACTGTTTTTATTTCTAATGATATACAAATAAGAAGATGTGGTATGATTGTTAATGAACAAACTATATATCAGAGACCAAATGATGAAGAGGTCAGCAACTTGGTATTAACGTTCGTCCTTTTAAAATGAGTTTAACCCAGATTGAATAGTAAGCCATACAAGGCCCCGAAATGAAAAAAGCTAAATCAATTTTAACCCGGTAACCGACGTTCTGATTAGTATAAATAAACAAAAAAAAACATATATCATAGAGAGTGAACAACGACAACCAGTGAATTACAGATCCAATGGCTTTGGACAGGCACAAACAAAAAGAGATAGGATTAGACAAGTTTGTCCTAGCGACAATGGTGTAATAGCAAAACAAAAGAAAAAATAGCAATCATTAGTTGGAAATTCATCCCTATAGTTTTACTGGGAAGAAAAAAGCTTTACGGCCGTCCATTGCAGGTCTTCTTTTTTTTCTTAACGTTCCAGTGTATAAACGCATCCCTGACTTTAAAATGTTTAGTTTTGAGCGTTCCTGATAAAGATTAATCAAGAAAAGCGATTCGGACGCACGAATTTATAAAGTGTTCATGTCATTTAAAACATGTACCGAAAAGACAGTATACAAAACACACACAACATAGAAATCTAAAGACTGAGCAAAACGATCTCTACCAAAACAGGGGATGACCTTATGTGCTGCGGAAGGGTAGGCAGATACTGTGCCACATATGGTTATCGTCGTGTTGCTCATGTAAATATAAACCGGGTGAAAAGTCAAATTTGATAGTCACATTCAAGGAAATGAATACGGAATTGTGATTACAACCATTGGAACATATCTGTCGTCATCTGTGAAGCAAATGTTCAATAACGGTCAACTAACTCGTGATAGCGTCCGTAAAATTTTGGAAGGGATGATTTCAGCATCACCACTTGGAACTCTTGGTTCTATAGCTTCCTTGTGATCAGCAACCCTCAATCAAGACAATCATGATAGGAAATGCATGGTATGGAATATTGTATCAATTGGGAGATATATAATCAATATGCAATGCGGCTGGAATGTTGCTACATAAATTTCATAGTTTCAATTGGAAAATTTAACTCATCTTTTTGTCGGAAAGGTTTATTTGCAACCAACCCTCATTGTCAATTTCTATTTCAATGACTTTCGAACAGCGGTAAACTACTGTTGCCTTTATCTAGATCCAAGTCAAGATATATGGCAGAAATCGGTTGTATCCTTTGTTTCAAGTTCGATGGTCATGGGAAAGATGCATTCAACAAAGTCACTAAACTTTGAACTATGAAGTGAGAGGACATTATCTATATATTGCAACATGAAGTTAAGTTAGTTTGTTTCAATTTTCTTGCAAGAATGAAATAAATGACCACTTGTTTAATAAGACAGCCTACACCACCGTTACACCGCTGTCCTAGATGAGGAGAGAGTTTGGGCGTTCTCAAACATTGTGTGCAGTATGTGATGGATAATTGTTGTCTCGATCAGTAAGATTTTTTTTATACATTCAAAGTATAAAATGCATTTCTATTATTGTATTTCAATACTTAATTATCCTACTGCAGTATTTTGGAGGCAACATGATAGGAGGGTAAGACGCACGAAATTAATATATTTATTGACTAGCATTGCATCGTTGTCATTGCAGTTTGACTGTTAATCCTCGAGGTTATCAACAGAGCAGTATTAAATGCTTCGGTGCTGTCATGATGTATTACATAACTTATTAAATGCACAAGAAACCAAGTTTACAACTCTCTCTGGTAAAATTGACTTATATGTATATTTTTTTTATTCTTTTTCGGTCTCCATTCTAGTCCTAAAGCCTAAAGTATTTATGTTGCCTGGTTTCAAAATGTTGTGTTTGGGTGCTCCTGGTGAAGATAAATTCAGGAAAGCTATTTGAACGCGCGTAAATTATTAAATGTTACTTTCGTTAGTTAATGCATATCATTTTTTGCATCTCGCCTTGAAACTAGCGTTGATATATTCGACTACGTGCAATATACAAACCGTGGAACGTTTTCAAAAGTTGTAACCCATGTAACCCAGGATCATCAATACTAACATTTGTATAAATTATATTACTGTAGCGCAACTGATGGTACAATCAAACCTATCCCAGTCGTACTAGAGCTGCAACAGTGATATATGGTATTTGGTTTAAATCTAATATACAAAAGCATTTCACGATGGTGCTTTAACTAGTTGACATTCACCATCAAAAGTGATATCTCAATATCAACTTTACTTGAACTCGCTTTGAACGATGTAAAAAAAAATGTTTTATATTATGTTCTCGATGATCACTTATTAGTATAGCTCATACAGTATTTATGTGAATTATCAGTTAAAATGAATCTGAACACAACGAAGTTATCATTCTCGCAATGGGATGTAAATACCTGGATAGAATTGAAGTAAAGTTTACGAACGAATTCTCAACAACGACCATGAATACTCTATAGAAAACAGCAATTATTTTCTCTGTGGACTATATAAGATGAACGATCGAAAGAAAAATTGTACGTTGTTGCCAATCTATCAATGAAGAAAACAAGATTACATTTTGTTCTTCTTGCGAGTCATAATGTCAATACAGGACAACGAAAATAACACTTTGTGAAATGAATTTGACATATTGATGTACACTGAATATTGTAAAAGATGGAACTGCTGATCGATGGAATTCATACATTCATGGTAATATTCAGACATTTATAATCATCACAATCGCACATTTTATAAATCGATTAAGAAAATACAGATCTACGGATAAAAAAAAACAAAACATGAGGAAATCTCATTAACTTTAAAAGGAGCGAAACCGGGAGTCTCGACAGTAAAAGCTTCTCCTGCTATTAAAACATCACCCGGCATGCGATTCCACACTCAGTCAAAACGTCACAATCGGGAAGCAAACACTATCGGTAACATTACAGATCAGACGACTATTCTGGTATCTAAAGATATTATACCTTAAAAACATGTCGCTTGTTGAGACACAGACACAACGTATTGGTCAACCTATTCGAGCTTGTGAAGGTAAAACTGATGTTATGTCGAGTTCAGTTGTTCTTCCTCATATCTTTGTTGTAGCAGTATTTGTTTAATAAGCATATTCCGGTTTATGGTGTTTCTATCGTGTTAACATGCACACACGTAAAGCATTAATTAAGATATGTAAACATCATATGATGGGGATGCAGAGTGTATGTTGCTGCTGATAAATGGAAAGTGTACAATTTAAACATTGAAATCATGACGTTTTCATAGATTCTAGTTTTACGTCGCTCATCCGTGCCAATATCAGGGACAATATGAGAAGCAGACCTCCTAGTTTCGGTAAAACCTTTAATATCAAGTCACTGGGAATATGAGATGAAGTACGCACTAAAATGTTGGTTATTAACAGGACATGCCTGGTAGTTAATTTAAAGAACTTTGCAAGATGCAAAAAAATGGAATCGTTAATGTTATTACCGTTTTAATAGAGATTTCTAATAAAATTACATATGTCTGTATATGAACCTACGTACCTAATGGGAACGGTTATTGCCAACCCATGCATTTTGTTAAATACGTCGCTCAAATTTAAACAAAATATTCCAAGACTTTTTTTAAATCATACACTTGATTTTTATTGAATGACGGGACATCATCAATATACCTGAAAGTGAATTAAAAGAACTCGCATTTATTTTTAAATCCTTTTTAGTCATATAGCTCTTTAACTGTTTCGGTTCTTATACATCGTCGGCTTTCAGATATTCAGTTTTGAGCGTTCCCGATGAAGGTAAAATTAAAAAGTGCTTCGAACGCATGAAATTTGTAAAGTCTTTTGTTTGCAAGATGCAATAAAAAATGTTATCCTTAATGTTGTGTCGTAGTTCTCCTCTTAAATTTGATGTGTTTCCCTCAGTTTTAGTTTGTAACCCGGATTTGTTTTTTTCTCAATCGATTTATGAATTTCGAACAGTGGTATACTACT